AAGAGCGCAATGATGGTGCCAACTTGGGCCAGTGAAGCAATGTCCTCCACAACTAGACTGAAGAACAAAACTACGGCAACTTGTCTGTTCCCCTTCCCCTAATTCCCCAGCGCTCTTCCCATCCCCCAATTCCCCAATAAAATCTTCATAAAAAGAAAAAAAATATTGACCCTTGATCTTATTTTCCCCATGAATAAAAATACAAATACCGCAACTTTGAAAATAATTATAAGGGGAATGGGTAATTGCTCAGTTTCCAAGTAGGAAGAAAGCTTTTGCTGACACAGTGAGCAGTGTGTATATAAACTATAAATGCCCTAAGAGGTTAGAAAAAGTGTTTAATGTGGACTGTCGTCAGCAGGGAAGGTTTCCTAGAGATGTGTAGTTAATCCAGGACTAGCAGGAAAAAAATTAGTGTCCAAGAGGGTGGGGACAAGAATGAAAGAAACCGAGTCATGAGCTATAAAAACAGAGTGAATGAAATTTGAGCAGATTAAGTGGGGTCAGACTATGGGAAACACTGATTTGCTAGCTAGAGGAGCTTATACCTGAAATACTAAGCAAGAGGAATCCACAAAAGAAACTTCCAAGAACTTCAACTTCGTTAGCTTTGCTTAGGGGCACGTATGGTACTCCATAAGGTCTCAGTTATCAAATCGACCTCCCTAGCCTGCCAGAATAACCCAACAATAACAAAAAGCACCCCAACTCCCCTCATATTCGGTCAAAAGGTCACTTTAATAGTCACTCTTTTAAATTAGACCACAAACGATTGAAATCAGTTACCCTGGTAAAACAGGCAGGTACGTCCTGTGGTCTGCTAATTTGATTCTCACAGTTAAAATTATTGTCATTCACCTGGGAAGGCACAAAAGCCACCTTTTGAGGGAGTGGTCCAGTTGCTGTTGAGATCTGTATGGCGAGCAGGACAGCAACCAATTCGACGTGACTGAGTGACAGCCATGGAAAAGTGACTGGGAGAACCAGCCAGTATGGATCCGATGGTCCCTGGGAGAGGGTTGGAGTGGGAGGCTCCGGTGATTCATGTCTTTGGAAAAGGGTCATTGTAACAGCCCAGATGTGGGAGAAAAGAAGGCATCAGAAGGGCAGGAATGTCAAAAGTATATTGTATATAGGGAATAGAGTCAATGGAATTGTAACAGATATATACGATGTCAGAGGGTAACAGATTGGGGGAGGGAGGTTGTCACTTTGTGAGGGGTGAAATGTATTACTATTACATTGTTTTGTACACCTGAAATTAATAAAAATATTTTTAATTTTTAAACGAAGTATATTGTATTATATTTCACAATTGTATGGGGGTCACGTCATTTCTGAGGTGTTTTACCTGATCAATATACATAAGTCATTGTGATTTAAAGTTATAAACCTGTAAAACCACATCAGAGTCTGAATCTGTCATCTATCTATATACCTACCTACCTGTCTAGTTAGCCATCTATGGATAAGAGAGCTAGATACAGATATCTACATATATTTTATATATTTATAAGTGTATGATGTATTTACATATTTTATTGTTATATTCTTTATATATTTATGACATATATATATATATATATTTTAGATATATAGTCTATAATATTATGTATGTGTGTGATTGCTGGTAAAGTTTATTTACATTATGCTCTATCATATCAATCACATTTAAGTCCTGGAAGTTTGTACTGATGTCAGAGTTCAGTACATTCCTGGGAGAATGTTTTTTTTTTCAAAAACAAAAACAGGATACAATTAATACGATAGTTGGGTAGCTTAATGACTATCTTGCTTGTTTGGGTTCTCGTCTGGGATTTGAATGGACTGTGCCCAGTGGCTGCCAATGGTAGTTTATGAAAGTCATAGAGTTCTTTGCTTTTCACCACAAACTCTTTGTTGAATTCCTGAATATTTAAATGAGGATTTGGATTCTAGTGGGTCTTCATCTTGGTGTTCAGCCAGAGCTAAGTGTAACCAATGTTTCAGCGGGTATCCAAAAGTCGCATGTACAGAAAGGAGGTTGTGCTCATTTCCATCCACTGCACAGCCACAGTTATAGCCAAAAGAGTTACAGCTGTGCTGTTGTGCATACCAGTTGCCAAAGGGGTCACTCTGGTGGGGCTGGAACTCTGGCTTCACTCTTTGCCAGTACCAGTAATAATTATTTTGCATCCATTCATCCATCCATCCATTTATCTATATCAACTCTTTATAATTCATCCTTTACACTTATTCATTCATTCAACACATTTCTATCTCATTGCCATTGTGTATCATGCATTGCTTTAAGGGCTGACCAAGTGTGAGTTGCTCTATCACTACCATAAAGGAACTCACAGTCTAAAAGGAGATAAAAGCATTGCTACTACGAAATGTCTTAGCTAAGGATTGTCAGATAAAATAGAGGATGGTTGAATTTGAATTTCAGATAAACAGTGAAAAATTTTTAGCACAAAATAATTTTAGTGCACTCTGATGTGCTAAATTTAATGAATAAACTGAAGGAATATATATTTTAGTATATATAATGAAAAAAATTTTAGTACCAATTAATTGTTAGTGCACTCCCAGGCAATATTTGGGACATACTTACATTTAAAAAAAATTCATTGTTTATCTGAAGCTCGAATTGAAGTGGGTGTCCTGTATGTTTACTTGCTAAATCTGTCCATCTCACTTTGGTGCTTCTGGGAATTGTGTGACGTCAGGGCTAGTCATTTGTGGTTGTGAAATGTCCACAGTCTCCCATAAGTTTCCTTATTCTGCAAGTAATTTCCAAAGTGTCCCTAATATAAAAAAAGATACAAGCAGATTGGGGGAAGGAGGGTTTTCTCCATGGAATCTGTGTGGCTTGGAAATACAGAATACTGCATAATCTCTGAATAAAACATGGAATTACGGGGCAAGTAAAATACCTATACTTCTTATACTATGACAGTAATAAGTTGTTCCTGTTTACCTCACATACACTATTGCTCACTTTTGCCCATTGTCATTGAGAAATATATTTGAGCAGAAATAATTAGGTTGGATCCATTCAATATTTACAGTCT